GCTGCTGATGATGATGCTGATGCTGCTGCTGCTGATGATGATGACGACGACGATGCTGATAGTGATGATGAGGAGGAGGATGATGGTGATAGTGATGGTGATGGTGATGGTGATGGTGATGCGGCTGATGGTGACAATGATGGTGGTGGTGGTGATTAGGATGTGGAGGAGGCGTAGGACGAGGGAGGCAGAGTGCGACGAGAGAGAAGGAGGCGGAGGATAGTTCAGGGAGGGGGACAACCAGGAGGAACACGAAGTGACACACACGCACACACACACACCTATGAGGACGCACATGAGTGAGGAGGACGGACTTGGGGAGGACGAGGCGGAGGAGGCTGTTGAGGAAGGACGTCTGCGATGGTGCATCATCTCGTCAGTCGTGCCCGCCCCAGGCGCAAGCGCGGCAGGCGGAGGCGTGCGTTCAAGACCGACGCGACGGGAAACAAGGTCGTCGTCATCCTGGGTGCGTACGACCCCCGATGGGACGAGGCCGCCGCCACCGCGAGAGCGGAGGTGAGTTCCCACAGCTCCGCGCGTCGTGGCAGCCTCACTGCGCCGGCCAGGTGCTCCATTTGTTGCGGCTTCTTCTGGGAGCCGTTCTCGGGCCCTGGAGCAGTTGAGAAACGGCCCGCGGGGGTGGCCGGTCCTGGGATGGTGTCGAGAGCTCGAGGGGGGGGGGTTGTGGAGGAGATGGCACGGCGTCGGAGGTCTGGGCCCGTGGGGGTTAAGGTGTCAGGAGTCAGGAGAAAGGGGAGGGAGGAAATGGGAAGGGAAGGAGACGGGGAGAGATGAGGGCAGGGTCATTCTCCTCGCCTTCTTGATCGACAGCGAGTTGCGCAACATTCTCGCGGCAGTATAGGCACAATCGTATACACATAATACGGCCTTCGGTCCATCCCGCTACCATACCTGGGTTGTGATTCTGGAGCCCATTGGATGTTCGTTGGGATCTCGCGGCAGGCTTCTCGAGGGCCGCTCGGTGGCAGTGTTGAGGCCTCTTGGGGGACGTTTTTGGGCCTCTTGGTGCCTCTTTTGGACTTCCTGGGGGGTCGTCGCTGTCTCTTGGGGGCCGCTTCGGGCCTTCTTGGAGCCTCCAGGGCACCTCTTGGGGCGGAAGGCTCGGATTTTCAGCTCGTGTTCCCTCTTTTGGGCCCTTTCGGGGGCCGTCTTGGTGTCCTCTTGGGCTGTCTTGGGATGCTCGTAGGCTGTCTTGGGTTTCTCTTGGAGGTCTCTTGGCTCTTGGGGTGGTCTTAAGGAGGAGGATGATGATGATGAGGAGGAGGAGGAGGAGGAGGAGGAGGAGGAGGAGGAGAGGAGGAGGATAAGTCGAACGTGCAGGAGGTAGTGGTTGTAGCCAGACCACAAGAAAGTGTTGCACGCCCGTCAGAAGACAGTGTAAGTCAAATTCCTTCCCGGGCCAGTGGATCCCTCAAGTTTGGGGTTCCAGGACCCCCCGCGGGGGATGGCATTCTGATCCGAGGCCTCCCCTTCCCCGGGATTCCCCTCCTTGGCAGGGGTCGGATCAAATGGAAGGGGCTTCCCTTTGACCTAACTACGACGTTCTTCGTTTTCCTTGTTCCTTAATTTCCGTGGGACTGACAGCGACGATGGCGACGAGGACGACGACGATGATTCAAACGGAAAAACGCTTCACACACCCCGAAGGGTCGGCGGATTTGCAGCACTTGACACAGGGGACTCGAAGGGACCTGAGGACACTCCGACTCGTGCCTCAGGGCCTGGCGGTGGAATTATAGTACTTAGTTACAGAGTAGTCGAAATTACCTGAGGACACTCCGATTCGTGCCTCAGGGCACGGTGGCGGATCTATATATACATCTATATATATATACACAGAGAGATAGAGAGAGAGAGAGAGAGAGCGAGAGAAAGAGAGAAATAGAAAGAGAGAGAGAGAGAGAGAGAAGGAGCCTGCGCCTGCGCCCCGAGGCTTTAAGCGTAGAGGGGGATCGGGCTCGATGTGGCCTACCCCGGAGAGCCTCGCCCACGCCTCGCGGAAAATCGGTCGGGAAGATGTTGATCCGACCATGCCACGAGGCCTGTCGTGCAGCCGGCGACGGCGGCGCACGAGTGGTGCAACGTAACGAGTGACGTGGTCAAGGGAATCCCGAGCAGGGGGCCTTCTTCTCTTCCTTCTTCCCCTCCTTCTCTTCCGCGCTTGTCTGCCCGCAGTTGCTCGAGCATCGGGTTGTGCTCGCCTTGCGTCCTCTGTGTACCCTCTGCTGCCAGTGGAGCTGGCGGCGACACCCGCGGTACGTGAAACACGCGTCGGGTGCGCGAGCATGGCAGGTCATCTGAACGCCCATGCCATCCTAAGCGCCATTCTACACCAAGAACTTACGACATACAAAAAGCCCTGAAACCTCCGAGCACCCCAAATCCCCCCGCCCCCAACAGAAAGCTCTTCTCCTCCTCTGCCTCCTCCTCCTCCTCCACTTCCTCTCCGTAGCCATTTTGGCTCAAGTCCGTAGCGGTTTCGCTCAGCACTTGAGATTCTGGCAAGGGGATCCAGCGGCCCCACCTGCTTTCTCCTGGCACTACCAGCCAGGCCACATCCAGCGATACAGTAACCTCTGTGCCAGCACGGGCACGTTTCTCTTTCCAGTGAGCTCCTGCAGGAGCCCATGCCGAAGGATGTTAAAGGATATCTCACTTGCTCGGCGTGCAGGTACAGATGGAACTTCAAGACAAACACGTTCTGCTACACCTGCCAGGCCACGCTCCTCCCGAACGAGATGCCTTGGAGAGTCGCCCAGGGTGTGTGGGCCTCCCCGCCGCATGGAGCAGGCGGCCAGCCGCCTGCGGGTGCGGGGTCGCCGCCCTACCCGCCAGGCACGTGGCCGCAGTGGGGAGCGCCGCCTAGGAGATTGGCGCCGCCCCGCACCTCCACTCCTCCGCAGCGAGGCTCTCCGCCGACCACTGACGCCCTCTTGGACGAGCTCAAGGCCAGGGTCGGGGACGCGGCGACTGCGGAGATGGCGGCGCTCCAGCAGGCCTTGGCGCCACCGCAACAGACGAAGGCCCCTCCAAGAGAGCCCCTGCTGGAGGAGACTGTCTCAGCAAAAGGGGTGGCCTGCCGCAGGGCCCAGAAGTGGCTACGAGAGTGTGTGGCGAAGGAGGACGAGGCGGCACGGTGGCTTCAGGAGCTGCGGGCCGCCACAGCGGAGGCAGCCGTCGAGGCCTACGACGCGGAGCAGGCGTGGAAGGATGAGCTACGGGTTGAGCTTCAGCGTGCAGGCGAGCACCGACCTTGCCCACCAGAGGAGGCAGCCGCGAAGCCAGCAGGCTCCCAGATCAACTTGTCGGAGTTGCTCACGGGCGAAGGGGGCATCGACACCGTTGAGATCGTGGATGGGTCCGTGCTCGACCTTTCGGACCTGGAGCTCGACGATGCGGACAGGGAAAGCTGGACAAACCTCAAAGCCAACATGGCGTCACAGATCCAGCAGGCCATCCTGGCAGCTATCGGGCCAAGCGCTGAGCACATCCAGAAGCTCAGGCAAGAAGCTAGAGACATGCGTCAGCGGCTCGCCAGCAAGAGGGCCCGCAAGGACTCAAGTGGAGGCGCGACGCCGACACCGGAAGCAGCACCAGCGGAGACGGCAGGTGCGACGGCCAACACTGGGTCAGCGAGCTCTGCAGGCGCTGCTGGCGCTGGTGCTGCTCCTTCAGCCGCTGGGGGCCCAGGCGAACCACACCCAAAGCAGCGGGGCCCCGAGAAGGTCAAAGCCTTGGTCGAAGCAGCTCGCGCCCACAACACAGAGTCCAGTCTTTGACGGGGCTTCTTGGCGAAGGATGGCATCGGGGCACCAAGGTGTCCTTGGGGAGCCCGAGGGGCAGACCCTAAAGGGGCAGAGGCGGTGGCCACCGTTTTTGGGGCGCACTGGCGTCCTTGGGGAGCCACAATGGCAAACCCTAAAGGGAGGCGCGGGTAGCGGGCTCTTGACCAATGCCGCAGACATGCGGGTGGGCGATCCCTTTGGTCGTGCCCAGCCTCTCGTCGGCGCCGCGGATGCGCGGGATGCAGCCCCCGACGAGAGCGACCCCTCCCACGCTGCTCACGGTTGGCCGCCGCCTCCCCCAGGAGTGAGCAAGGCTCTTTCACTTTTCTCTCAGGTCACCTACAACTCTTACGATTGGCGAAGGATGGCATCGGGGCACCAAGGTGTCCTTGGGGAGCCCGTGGGGCAGACCCTAAAGGGGCAGAGGCGGTGGCCACCGTTTTTGGGGCGCACTGGCGTCCTTGGGGGGCCACAACGGCAAACCCTAAAGGGAGGCGCGGGTAGCGGGCTCTTGACCAATGCCGCAGACATGCGGGTGGGCGATCCCTTTGGTCGTGCCCAGCCTCTCGTCGGCGCCGCGGATGCGCGGGATGCAGCCCCCGACGAGAGCGACCCCTCCCACTCTGCTCGCGGTTGGCCGCCGCCCCCCCCAGGAGTTAGCAAGGCTCTTTCACATTTCTCTCTGGTCACCTACAACTCGAACGCTTGGTCGACTGGTCTTAAGTTTTTGGAATGGTCGAAGCTGGTCAAGGGCACTGTGTATGATGCCGTTCTGGTCCAAGAGCACCGTTTGCTTCAACATCAGATCCAAGCCCCCAGGGCCTGGGCCCATCAGGCGGGGTACGCTTCTTCTTTTCAGCCAGCGGCCAGCACAGGGATAACGGACAGAGAATCGTCAGCAGGCACGGCGGTGCTGGTCCGCAGTCAATTTGGCGCAGCAGGATACCAGCATCGGTTCCTCGGCGAGCGCGTGGCGGCTTGCAGAGTCGCTTTGGCTTACAACGTGGAGGTGCTGGTAGTCTCGGTATACGGGCATACTACTTTGGGGCTCAGCGGAGCCAATCTCGATTTCTTGGAGCAGGTCAGCGCGGTGGTAGCAGAGGCTAACATCCCTTTCGTCATCGGCGGTGATTGGAATATTGACGCTGCAGAGCTCAGGGAGCCCCAGTGGACTGGGCACCTCGGGGCCAGCATCCTGCGGCCAGAAGGTGCGACCTGCCACGACCACTGCTACGACTTTTTCGTCAACAGCGGGTGCCTGGACTACCGCGTCGACTGGTGCGCTGGAGTGGCCGACACCCCAGTAGGGCCGCACTCTGCGGTGGCCCTCCGAATGCGAGCGCTGGCTGGCCAGGCCAAGGTTTGGAAGCGCATTGTGCCCAAGCGTTTCCCTCTGCCCCAGGATGATGATGAGAGGATGCAGATGGTTTTTTCGGGATCCTGGGACGGCCCAAATTTTTTGGGCCTGGATCCTCTGGACGCTGCGTCCAGATGGTTTTCCTCTGCGGAAAGGGCCCTCGCTGAGGTCCACGGTGTGACGGACCCCAAGTTTTTCGGCCGACACAAGGGCTGTCAGATACAGCTCGTCCCTCTGCGAGCAGCTTGGGGCCAAGAGCTCTACCAGCGTTCTAATCTGCTCACTCAGAAGTGGCTTTCGCTGCGCCGCCTGTCCATCCAGTTTTTAAAAGCTACTAAACCAGAGGTTCAGGCTCAGCTGGTCAGGATTGCATCGCCCCTCTCAACTTTGTTCGCGGAGGCGGGGCAGGAACAGCTCCGTGGACTTACCCTGGCTAACTTTTTTACGCAGCTGGCCGACAGCGCGACCAGAGGGCCGCTAGTGGACGCGGTCCAAGCGGAGGTCGTCAGCAGGGTGAAGCAGGAGGCGGCTGAAGGCCGACAGAAGTGGAAGTCGTGGGCGGAGTCGTCGGTGGCTGGAGGTGGTCGTGTCGCTCACAGGTTCAGCAAAGGCCCAGCCCCTCCGCCCCTGCCAGTTTTCGAAGAGGCCGATGACCAGGGCATCCCGCAGAATCGGCTTTCGATTCTGGTAGGCCAGGCCGCTCTAGAGCAGACCCTCAAGGAGTGGATTCCCATTTGGACCAGCGCCGAGCGCGAGGGGGAGCAGCATCCCCTTGACTGGACGGTGGAGGATTCGCTCGAACCGATCTCTGCTGAACAGGTTCTAGAAGCGGCGGCTTCTTTCAGCCCGACCACGGCTTTGGGTTGGGATGCGTTCAGCCCGCGGCTCCTGTTGCAGCTCCCTCGGCCGCTTGTTGAGGCCTTTGCGGCCATCCTCACTGCTTGGGAAAGGAATCCGAGGGTGGATCAGATGTGGCTAGTGCTGATCGTTTTTCTCGACAAGCCTTCGGGGGGAGTCCGACCGATAGGGCTGCTTCCCTTCTTTGCGAGGGTCTGGGGCAGAATTAGGCACAGGCTGTGCTCTGAGTGGGAGCGTCGCGCTGATGAGCGTTTCTTTTGGGGTATGAGCACCAGCACAGCCTGTGACAAGAGCGCTTGGGTCCACAACGCTCTTGCAGCCTATGCCCGTTCCCAGCCTGGCTGGGCCTCTTGCGCGCTTTTCATAGACCTGCGCAAGTTCTATGAACACATCTCGCACCAGGAGTTGCGAGAAGCCGCCAGGCATTTTTTCGGAAGCCCTCTTGAGGAGCTACTGTTCGATGTATCGTGCACCGCGTAGGGTCTCGTGGCAAGGCGCGGTCAGCAGAGTCCTCGTGCCGAACGGCACGGTAGTTGCAGGGTGCTCTGGGGCCACCACTCTTTCCCGCTTGCTCCTCTTAGCTTGTTTGCGGCGCGCGGCGTCGGCCAGCCCAGTCGTCTGGATAAAAAAATGTAATCGACGATGTCTCGCTGCACGCGGTTGGAGGCAAGGAAGTAGTTCGCAGGGAGCTCGGGCACGCGTTCCGCATGATAACGGCAGGCCTAAGAAAAAAAGGGGCTGCCCATCGCCTGTAATAAGCTCGGCCTCCTCTCTTCCTCGGGGGTGGTGGCGGGCGGGATCCTCCTCGATTGTGGCCTCCCAGAGTCGGTGCGCGCCCAGGTCCATCGGGATCTAGGAGGTGACGCGACCGACGGCAGCCGTAGGCGAGTAAGCACACATCACGATCGTTTCTGCGCCGCCCAAGCCAAGGTCGGCAAAATCGTGGCCCTCAGAAACGCTGGAGCCCCAGCGGGCTTTGTTTTTCGGGCTGGAGTTTCTGCCAAGGCTCTATGGGGAGCCAACATCCAAGGGCTCCCTGACGGCAAACTCAATCAACTAAGGGTAGCTGCGCTGCGCGCTGAAGGGCGGTTGCCTCGCGGCTGCTCCCTGGACTTAGCTTCCATGTGCGCGCGTGGCGGCTGGGCCCGAGACCCATTGGTCTTGGTCACAGCCGATGCTCTGAAAACGTATGTGCAGATCCTCACAGACAATCGCCTGCCCCCCTCGGTGCTTCGATTTCTTTTTACCCAAGGGCAGGCCATTGCGTCAAAAGCCCGCCCATGGGCGCAGGTCAAGGACCCTGTGGCGGCTCTAATCCTCACTGCGGGGCGAGCAGGTCTGACTTTCACAGACCCCTGGACACTGTGCGAGGCCTCAGGGCAGGTTTGGTCCCTGGCCTCTGTCTCGCCTGCCTTCGTTGCTCGCCGTGCCCGCTTCGCTGCGCGTCGCCTGTCTGATCGCCGAGGCCTCAGCAAAATCAGCGGAGGCAAGGGTTGGTTAGGCGAATTTTTTTGGCGCCCCCTCAACGAGAGGCTGCGCTGCAGACGACAGCAAGACGACGATGACGGGGCGGAGTCGGGTACGGGTGGAGCTTGGGGGGTGCGGGAGCAGAGGGCCTTGAGAGGCCTTGTTATGGGCTCGCACTGGCGCCAGCACAGGCTTCACCAGCACGACCCCCCAGCTCGAGGCAGACTGCCTCATCTGTCACGGGGCCAGAGGCACCCTTTTTCACAGGCACTTCGAGTGCCCTGCCCGTGCAGCTTGGCGGCGAGACCATCTCCCGCCTGAGCTCCAGGCAGCGGCTGCTCGTCTTGCTCGCTGCCCAGTTGAACTGCAAGAGCGATTCGCCCGAGGCATCCTCCCTGACCCCTGTCAGCTGCTCGCGCGGAGGCCCTGGGACCCAGCGTGGGAGTTCAGGGCTGAAGGAGTGGGTGCGTGTTTGGCGGTGGATAACGCTCACGTCTTCTGTGACGGCTCGGGTCACGATGGAATGTTCCCCGCTTTGCGTTCGGCAGGCTGGGGAGTTGCCATTTATGACAGCGAGCGCCGCTGGATCACGGGCTGGTTTGGAGCCGTCCCGCCAGCCACTCTGCCTGACCAAGTCGCCCGAGATGGCGAAGATTTTGCAGTTTTCATGGCCGCGAGTTTTTTAATTGGCACGTTCACGCTTTACTCTGACTGCAAAGGAACTCTCGAGTGCTGTCGCCATAGAAGCTGGGCCGAGAGTCCAGCCAACACACGTATGCATCTGTGGAAGGAGCCGTATGCTAAAAACGATTTGTCTGGGGTGAGCTGCTGCAAGGTCAAGGCCCATTCGAGCATGGATGACGTTCGGGAAGGTAAGATCAGCCTGTTTGAACAAAACGGGCAACGACGCCGCCGACCGTTTGGCCAGGCAAGGCGCCGATCTCAGCAGGCAAGACCCTCAGGATATGCTAGTGGTCAAAGGCATGCTGTTTATGGCCCGTCAGGTCACCTCTTTCATTGCCAGGGCCGAGGTTCATTATTCCGACCTAGGCGTGTTTGATAATGTGGGCGCCCAGGGGCTCACCCCCATTTCGCTCGAGGGCGGCGAAGGCCTGGAGGAGGACCTGGAGGAGCTCAGGAGGAGGGGGGCGGCGGAGGGGCGATCTGCTGCTGCTGCTGCTCCCCCTCCTGCCCCAGCGGACCCCTCCCAGGACCTGCCTGAGGTGCCCCTGGGCCCCGACCTGGCCGTCCTGGCCAGGGATGCTCGCCGGGCCCCCTGGAAGCAGGGCGGCCACCAGCTGTTGGAGTTCCCGCTGCACGGTGAGGATCTCGCTCCAATATTTTTTTGCTCCACGTGTGGAGGGTATGCGACGGTCTCGGTCGGAGCTAGAGGCCTCAAGTCGGTCTGCCCTGGGGCCCAAGCGAGTCTGATAGACCCTGGCCGCAAAAACACCCGCGCTGTTTTAAGGTCGAAACATCCCAATCGCGCCTTTAAGCTTGGCCCCTGGAAGTCGCCTGGGGAGCGGGCTCGGGAGGTCTTTGGGGGTTTGGACGGCGGCCCAGGGGTCCAGCGAAAGGGCCAGCGAAGTGCGGTGGTCCCTGGATTTGTACCTGACCCCATCTGCTCGGCAGACTGTCTGCAGGCGTTCGGTTTGAATGAAGCTGAAGCCCGAGTGCTTGGGGCCAGGCTGCGGGAAAAGCAAAGGGTTTCCGCAGACTTGGCGTTTGAAGACGGCTAGCTGTTGTTGCCCTGGGGGGCCTTGTCGCTGGCCCCTGACAGGTCTTTGGCCTTCCTGTCAGGGTGACAAAAAGGTCCACTCCGATGGGCCCCCCTCGGGCGTTTTGTTTCAGCTGACTGTCGGATTTTTTCTCTTCCCCCCCCCCTCGGTGGCGTGCAATCCTCCACTTCCTCTCTCATTCTTTTCTTCCTTCCATCCTCCCGTCCTTGGGATGTGACGTCTGGGAAGTTAGATTCAGCATCGCCGCTTGTATATTCGTGTTCGGAAACATGCCTAATCTGGCACACTCCTCTGATTTTCGAAGGCTTACTTTGGACTAATCCGGCTGAGTGGCCCCGTGATCAGGCTCAACAGCCCTTCGTGGTTCTTGTTGAGACCTCCAGGGAGTTGCCTCCTAGTTTACCTTGCCCCCTCCCCTCCCCTCCCCCTCTCCCCCCCTTCCCCCCGCCGCCAGGGCGAGTGGAGCGACGAGTGGTTCGAGGTGGAAGACGGAGACCCGCTGCCGGATCGGCGCGCGCGCGCGGAGCGTGCCATTGTCGCCTGTTGGTCGTCGTCGTTGTTGCTGTCGTCGTCCTCTCCTCGGGCTGGGAGGGGGGAGGAGGAGGGGGGAGGATGAAGAGGAGGAGGAGGGGGAGGAGGAGGAGGAGGAGGAGGAGGAGGAGGAGAAGGAGGGAGGAGGAGGCAGGAGGGTGAGGAGGAGCAGGAGAAAGATGATGAAGGGGGGAGGAGGCGGAGGAGGAGGAGGAGGAGGAGGAGGAGGAGGAGGAGGAGGA